CTTAATTGGAATGGCATTAGAAATCCCGAGCACGCCCGGCACTTCCTCTCCACGTCGAATGTCAATTATAAAATAGTTTCGTGTGTCTTTAGTTTTTATTTGAGAATTTTCTCGGTTTCCATTGCGGCGGTTAGGGAGTTTTTCCAGGAATCACAGTTGGGCGGCACTTTTCCTATTCGCTGCACGTTTCGCTCTCCATCGAAAGAGGGCAAAAGGGAGACAGAGAGAGAGAGAGAGATTACAGATCGAAGGAACAATCCATCGCATGAATCGGCTCGGTTGGGTTCGGCTTGGATCGGTGTAAAACAGGTAGAATCGAACACCAAACTCTATTTGTTTTTCCACACATTTTTCCAAGCGTTTGGGGGGGAGAGGGAAAACTCGAACAGCGGCACAAAAAAACGGAATACAAAGTGGTAGAAGGAGGAGAAGGCGGAGAAGAATCCGAATTGGTAGCAGGCACAAGTGGAGGAGTGGAGTGTTTTTCTTTGCTTCTCTTTTCTCACTCACTCTTTGCTCTTTCTTCCAACTCTAGTCCCTCACTCTCACTGCTCCCTGGACGGTCCCTGTCCCTGTCCCCGTCCTGGACTTTCCATACCCTTTCTTCTCCTGAATCCCCCCCAGATCTTCTTCTAATTGGCTTTTCCTTTGGGCCTGGAGGAGGAGGATCTCTCGCGAAACTGTTTTTCGCCTCACTTTTCCCGCTAACTGTTTCTTTGGCTGCTGTTGTGGGACTTTTCATCTCTTCTCGGTTTTCTCTTACATTTTGCGATGGCCTCTGTTGCTGTTGCTGTTTCTGTTGCCTCCTCCTAGAGGGGGGTGGGGGGGTTGGAGGGGCGCTGCTGGTGCTGCCAATATTTTTCACCAAAGGCGCAAATACACCAACAATTGCAGAGCTGCCTCTGCCGCTGCCTCTGCCGCTGCCTCTGCCGCTGCCTCAGCCGCTGCCACCACAGAATGTTGGAGTCGCGTTGTTGTTGTTGTTGTTGTTGTTTGTGCCACACGGCCAAAGCGAGCCAAAAAGAACTCGTTTGACTTGTTGAACAATATTTCTTTCTTTTTCTTTTTCTCTTATTTTTTTTTCCTTCTTTTTTGTTGTATTTTTTATTCGCCTTTTACTCTTTTTCTTCTTCTTACTTTTTGTTGTTTTCTTTTAGTATTATTTTCGTGTGCGTTTTGGAAAACTGAATTAAAATTTCGATTTGTCTTCGATTTTCAGCGACTTTTCGCGTAGATTTCCATCATTCGAGGCCGATTTTACATTTTTGCGGCGAAAAACAGAAAACCGAAAAGAAGAGGAAGAACCGCGGCGACGGCGACGGCGAAGGCGACGAAAACAAACGGAGAAAAAACGCGGCGACAAATGGAGCAAAGGGTGCGATCCAATATTAAAGGGGTCGGGCGGGGGGGCGCACCTTTTTCAGGGGGGGCAAAAAAACACACACTTTTTATTCTTCTTCTTGGCAATTTTTAAGATTTGTCTGCACTTCACTTGATTCTTGGATATCTTTTTGTTGGTGCCGATGGCACGGCGATTCCGATTCCAATTCCGATTCGATATTCGTTTCGATCCGTTTTTGTTCCGACGGCGGCGACACGAGACTCGTTGCTCTGGGGGTCCGCGCGCAGCAATTCTCCAATGTTTCAGCGACGAAAACACACGACAGACTGAAGAGAGCCAGCGCTGGCTTAAAGGAGACACGACACAGAGCAGGCTCTCACCCACCACTCGTCGAATCCACCTCACCTGTGGCTCACCTGTGCCCGAGAACGCCGCGTGGTGGCGAGCGTCTCTCTCGCTCGCTCTCCACCAGAGTGGTTTGGTCGGTTTCCTGGAGAAGAGAGCCGCAGCCACAGCCGCAGCATGGTCTTCTGGTCCATTCCCCTCCCTAGAAGCCGCAGCGGCGGCAGCCAATGCTGCAACGAGAACAAGACAAGAATTTTAAAAGGTGCACACACAATACACAAAAAAGAATCGACGACAGGTCCACAATTAGCCAGAGAGAGGCTTCAACGAATGTCTCTCTCTGCCTGTCTCTCTCTCTGTGGGAGAGAGAGAGCCTGCCTGGTTTTGGCTTTGGCTGTGGCTTTGGCCATAAAAGCATTCAAGCCGAGATCCAGCCATGCACCCAACGCCTCGACTCGGGTCCAGTTGTGGCATGTAAATTAGCTGCAACAAAAAGAGAGAGAGAGAGAGAGAGAGAGGGACAGAGAGAGAGCGAGAGCGGGAGACTGCTCTCCAAACATGCTGCTCTCTCAGGTGAGAGCATAAACCGGTTCTCCGGCGATGCTCACCTGTGTGCCAAGTTGTTGTTGCTGCTGCCACTCTGCCGCTGCCCCTGCCCCTGCCCCCCTGTGAGTGCATTGAAGTGGCCTGTGGAGTGCGCTTTGGCGTTGAGTGTTTGGTATGTTGCCCCCCCGCCACCCCGGCACCCCGGCACCCCACCACCCGAAAGCCAGCCTCCTGCCTCCTGCCTCCTGCCCCTGCTCCATGCTCCATGCTGCTGCTTCCCATTGTTTTCGGGTGCCCGAAATTAGGCCTACCCCTTGGGGACCCCCCTACCCCCCGCTCTGCAACAATGTTGCGTGGCCCCAAACAATGCAAAATGTTGCGTAAGTTGCACATTTGGCGCCGCACGGGTAAAAGTTGCACTAGCCACAAAAAGCAACAGCAGTGGAGGACCACCATAGAGATCCCATAGAGCAGATTCCGATTCCAATTCCCGAGAACTCTCAAGCATTCGCAAATTCTGCAATTTGTCTGGGAAACGTACACGAAAAGTGCGTGCCGTGTGCCCCTGCCACACATCTGCCCAGCTCCCCCAGGTCCCCCAGGTCCCCACCTCCCCAGCTCCCCATCTCTGCTCTCAGAGAGAGAGAGGGCTACCCTGTACTGATCTGTTGGGAAAGGTATGTATTTTGGGGTATGATGGAGGGTGCTGTCAAAGGAAGGCTTCTATTGCTCGTTTGTGCCTGTCCAGGATCGATATAGAGACTCAAAGACTATGAGATGTGCAGCAATGATCTTGTTCCCATCAAATAAGACGTATTTTCCTTCTTCTCCAATCAGAAAAGTTCTGAAGGGCGCCTCATTTTGGCAGATATAGTGCTTGGGTGATGGATATATCTGTTATCCTCGTATATTCCCAAAATCAGCTCAATGGGGACCACTTTACGGCGTAAAAAAGACACCTATGGACCCATGGATACTCTACGAAGTGGAGTCCCTAAGATCTCTCTCAATAAACCCCAGAAAACCCTCTTCAGGAGGTATCCCCCATTCGAATTAGATCTCCCCCAATACGAGATCTCATTCTCACTTGTTGTTCCAGCCTCGTTTAGTGGGAATGCACGTTGGTGGTGGCACTGGTGGCACTCAATGAGCCAGTGGAGTGGCAAGGGCGAGGGAGGTGGCTGGTGCTGGTGCTGGAGCTGGTGGCAGACACAATGGAGCGACCATTTGGTCATTCGCCGCTTGTCAAAACTGTAAATGACGTCGCTTAGCTGTCGGCTTGCATTTGCCACTTTTGAAATGAAATGTGAAATGAGCTAAGGCCAACGGCAAACCAGCAAACCGGCAAACCGGCAAACCGGCAACAACGATCTTGACAGGCACTTGAAAGAGCCCCAGAGAGCAGCACCCCGGCACAAATGTATCTCAATGTGTGTCCCTGTCCCTGTCCCTGTCCCTGCCCCACAGCTTTAAGCGATCATAGATCTTGGCTAGAGCCGCCACCCACACGCAGACCCAGAGCCAGAGACAGAGACAGAGACAGACTTGGACTTGGACTCGTTGCAGGCCCGCCCGCTGCTTGCAAATCAGTTAATGGCAATGGACACAATTGAGCATCGACTGGGGCTTCGACTGGGGCTCTGAATGGATGGAGCCTGATGGATTTATGTTTGCGTTGAGTGCAGAGATACAGAGATACAGAGATGCGGAGATGCCGAGATGCAGATGAAGAATAATTTGCAGCAGCTATTGAAATTTGGCACTCGCTTAGAGAGAGAGAGAGATGGAATGGTAGTGCCCTCGAATCAATCGATCAATTCCCATCTCCATCTCCAGCTGCTTCCTGCTTTGTCAACATTTTGGAGCCCCCTCCTCCGGTCTCCGTCTCCGGTCTCCGATCTCAGAAGAATGTTGAACGTTCGATCCGACGATCGGCATGTCGCGGGCCCACACACAAAAACGACAAAACGAAGCGAATCGGAATCCATCATGCGAGTAATATGCAAAGTTACATAGGCCCCAGAACATCATCTCTAGCCTCCAACAGAGGCAGAGAGGGGCAGAGAGGCAGGGCTGGGGCTGGGGCTTGGGCTGGGGCCTGGGCCTGGGCTGGGGCTGGGGTTGGGCCTTCAAATCAATAGCCAGCCACATTGTCGTTGTTGTTGCTGTTGCTGTTGTCGTCATCATCCTTGGAATCGTCATCATCAACAACTGCAAACAACATTCGCCTGTCAGCGGCAACATCATAAATTGTTGTTTAGCCACATGTTGCTGCGGCTCGTCTGCGGATCGCTCTCTGGCTCTTTGGCAAAGGCTCCTTCCTCCTTGCCTCCATGCAGCATCCTCCATCCGCATCCATGCCTCGGCATTCAATGCATCCAGGCTCTGCTCTCACTCTCTCTCTCTCTCTCTCTCTCTCTCTCTCTCTCTCGATTGCTCGGCAGGCGCGCCTTGGTCTCTCGTCTCGGCTCGGCTCTTGTTTTCCCAATACCCTTTCCCGGGGTGGGCCTTACTTTACTAAACGATTACAGGGTGCTACAGGGTTCGCATATCATATGGAATCCCTTATACAAATATATTTCGATTGTTTTTAGAGTCTTAATCAGAGCTTTCTTGTATCTATTTTTAGTAGTAAAATTTTAATACATTTATTTTTTATTTATTATATTTATATATATTATTTTTATATTTATTTATTTAACTGTATTTTTATCTAATATATTTTTCTATATTTTATGCAGACCTCTCCTATTAACATGGGTCGTCAAGAACTTTCTTCGATCGGTAAGTCCATTCAATGTATTATCTTCAATGCCTTAATTGATGTATCCCTTCCGACCAAATATTTCCTTGAATTATTCAATTTATATTATTTAAAAAAAAGAATCAAAATTGATATTCTTTATCCATCATTTTCCAGTATTTTCTTGCACATTGAGAGTACAATTTATGCAGAGAATTTTTGTTAAGCTTCCCCCTAAATTACAGAAGATCTTTCTTATAGAAAGATCTCCGCCTATGAAAAAATTCCGCCCTGAAAGCATAGGCTTTTAAGGCTCCAATTATCATTTTTCCCAAGTCGTATTTTTCTGATAACAAATCGTATAGGTATTCATAATTAATAAATATTCTATAATTAATAATTAAATAATTTCTATAAAATTTCTATATGCTCTGTATGTGCTTAAGAATGGCATTGATTTCTATTGGAATACTTGAAATCTCAGAAGCCTAAAAGGAAGATCTGCTGTATTCAAAATTTCTCATATATTTTGGGCATCTATAGAGACTGGATTTTCTAGTGGGAAAATACTATACCAAGTAGCTGAGATCATAGATATATTTCTCAGCAATTTTCCAAGAACTGGGGAATACATTTTTCTGGTGAAATTCTGGTTTTCCCTGGCGGCGCCTTGACTTGCTTCTGCCTGACAGGGTATCAGCTCTTCTCTATAATGTTTTCCTTTTACATTTCCCTCTGGATCTGCCTCTGCCTCTGGCTCTGCCTCTGGCTCTGGGTCTGCCTCTAACTCTGCCGCGTGCTGTTCTCCGGCTGCTTGTTGATTTCCTGCGTCCGATAATAAGTTTTATTTATTTGCGCATTTGCCTGCGACGCTGCTCCTGTCCCCAAGACTTGTGTCCCGGCCCACTCTTGGCTCTTTTTAGTCCAGGCTTCTGGTCTAATCCTTTGTTATGGCCATGCAAATAGATGCCACTCCTGGCAGCGACTGCTCTGGGCCTGTCAGCGGACTCATCAGCGAATCATAATGCCCCCGCTCTACAGGGGGGAGGGCATTGGGGAGCCATGGAAGATCAATAAATATGGCTATTTTATTTCGGTAGCCAACGCCGTCATCATCGTTGTTGTCGTTGTCGCTGTCGACCCCGAGCCGGAGCCGGAGTCCGAGTCCGAGCCGGGCGCTCGTTCATTAATCTCTAAATTATGCGAATTTTTAATGAGACGCACATTTTGTTCGCGTTTTCATGTGGGGAGAGCCCCAAAGAGCCACCAGGAGAGAGCGAGAGAGAGAGGGAGAGCGCCAGAGATTCCGCGACTTGTTTCGCCTTCTGTTTTAGTTTTAATTGAAATACGCTTTCGATATAAAGTCGGGTTTAGAATGGTGTCCCCCTGCACCCCCCTCCCCCCCAGTGTCCCCCCTCCTCCCTCCACTGATAAGGCGGCGTTCCACTTACACGACTCTCTTGTCCGATGTCCGATTTGGCGTCTTGGGTGGGTTCTCTCCTGCCGCTAATGAAGTCCGACTTCTTGGCGGTGGCGTATAAATAATTGCGAGCAGAAATGAATTCCAAATTTGGCTTAACCTTTGCCGCTCTCTGCCGCCGCTGCCCCTTTGATCTCTACAGAGAGAGAGAGATTTCTGGAGATTTCGGCGGTTAGCCCATAAAATCGCCATCAAATACTAATTGACTCTGAGGCGGGGATTAATTCTAGCGGTGAATTTATGTTACACAACAAGCGAATTGAATGCGCGCCCCGTTTAATGCGATATTTATTGAAATCCCAGCGATTTGTCAAATGATTTACGATGGAGCGATTCTGATCGATTCTTTGTCGCCGAAATTTATGTAAACACATGAGAAATATGCATAAATTCTCGCGAGAGAGAGAGAGATTCCCCGGAAACGAGAGACGAGCGACGAGAGACCCTCTCTAGCGGTTCATCGAACTGGAGATTCTTCAGCAATTTCTCATATTTCTCTCACACACACGTGAGAATCCCTCTCTCTCTCTCTCTCTCTGTCTGAATGCTTTGCAATGCAAATTTCAGTTTCAGAAGCAGGTGGTGGGGGGAGGGGGGCATTATCCTTATAAAGCAGGAGATATCTCCCATGTCGATGCTCATATGCATATGCCACTCACTCAGAGGCAGGAGGGGGAGGGGGGGGCTCTGGCTCTGGCTCTGCCTGTGACCCCTTCTGCATCAATAGTCAATAGGCATCAATCTCTGGGCAGCAACAAGCCATGTTGCATGTCCCCAGCCAAGCCGCAGCCTCCTCTGCACAGTGCTTGGGCTCTTGTGGGCTCTGTGCCTGGCTCTTTCGTTCCTTTGTTGGCTCTTCTTTTTTTCGTTGGGGCTGTTGTCGCCATTACGAGTCGTCTGTATTCTGTATTCTGTATCTGATGCTGGATATCTACTGCGGCTGCTGGTGCTCCTGCTGTGCCTTCCGCTTAAGTCTCAATGTCGCCTCCTCCAGACTCCAGACATGCCCCCCCACCCCTCCTGCTGGCTGCAACTGTGGCACGCATGTTCTAAACTGATTTCCCATATTTACTGACAACTAGACAAATTTCAGGCATAAGTCAGGGCCAGGACAGGCCCGGGACTGGGCCCGGGACCGGGACCTGGCATTTGCATAAGTTCGCGCATTATGTCCAAAACTCGCATTGGTTCCTGGTATCCCGAGAAGATCCTCGGTCCGCGGCCGCATAAATTATCGCCCGACATAAAACATTAAACAAAAGTTGCAGTTGCACTTCGGAGAAAGAGAGAGTTCCACTGATTGGCCATGATTATGACTCTCTCTCTCTCTCTAGATCTCTCTCTCTAGATCCCCAGCAATTTCCCATCGTTTAGCCACCGACGATGGAGCATTGAAGCGTTTTGTCTGCCATTAAATTTCCATTTCCATTTTGATTCGAGCTCTCCAAAGTCTTCATTAGAGGCCTCTGCCCCTGCCACTGCCCCTGCCCCTGCCTCGTGGCAAGTGGATCGCAGGGGCATTCTAATCAGCGGGTCGTCTGCAGACTCTGTTTCTGGCCAACAACTTTGGCTAATTAAGCTACACAATGAGATTGTCTACCCTTGGGTCCCCCCTTTGCCTGCTGGCTGCTTGCATATTAAATTTCATTGATGATCTACGGATTCGTAGAGTTGCATTTAATTTTTCATCGCAACGGGAGATTTTCACACATCGTCCTCGCTCTGGGATCTCCATTCCGCTCTCTCCCGGTCCCCCAGAGCCCCCCTGTTCCACTTGGCGTATGATTAATGGGCCAGCATTTAATTGAGTTATGGTTTTGCCCTGACAACGAGCGCGGATTAACCCAGCGACCTTGTCACCAATTCCCAGCAAATTTATCTCTTTACAAGAATCGCTTCGCACCGAAATTGGACCGTGGAGCGTGGAGCGTGGAGCATGGAGCTTGGACTCTGGGAAGACTACGACTACTGTATCTATTGGGATGGAGGAGGACCATGGGAAGCACTTCGGAGGGAGATTGGAGTTTCCATCGAGGTACAAGGGCCGCGACACTAAGATATCTTATTTATCTTCCCATATGATCCTCAAATGACATGCCCTCTGGCAGGAAATGGTGTCTACATCCCATGCGAGAGATTCCTCCCTAAAGACAAAGCTTTCCCCTGCATATTCGAGGAAGACTGATCCCCAAAAAAGAAACAGGCTCTTGGCACCGCCACTGCGGACTGCCCTTGGCTTAAGGCCTGCTCTGGCGATAGTTCTTCATAAATTTTAATCAAATTAAAGAAGGCCACGCACCGGCTGGCAGGCGGCAGGCGGCAGATAAATTGAAGCTCGAACCGCGACTGCGCATAAGTAAGGATTACCCGAAGGCCAGCAGAGACTCGAAGGAGTCTCTCTCCACGGCTGCTGCGGTTCCAACAATGGTGCATAATTTTCAGCTTCCCTCCGTTTGTGACCTCTCAATCCGCCGGGCGGAGGGTACACTGTCAGAAATATTCGTGTTTGGCTTCGCTTCCCACTCGCTCGCACTCGCTCCTCGGTTCTTCGTCAATTCAAATTAATCAGAATTAGGCAATTACAGAAATTACAAAAATTACAACGTAATTTTCTGGGCTCTTCGCTTTAAAAGCTTTTGAAAAATTGCGCATGCGTATTGGCAGTACGAAAGAGAGGTTTCTCTAGTCCGCAGACTGGATCGACCTCCTCCTCCTCCTCCTCCTCCTCCTCCTCCTCCTCGTCATCATTCTGTGCTCCATTCTGCTTGTTTGTGGTTTGCTTTCGACTGTGGCTCAGGAATGTATCGCAAGTCGAACACTGGGCACAGTCTGTGCGAAAAGTGTGTGACGCGAGGGAGAGATGCTCGTCGTAGGAGAGCCAGGAGGCTGTTCTCAGTGCCTTTTCGTGCCCCTGGCTGGCCGTTACTCTTGCCCCTGGCCTGTTCTTGGCCTTGAGACTCGCTCCGAAGGGCTCTGAGGAGTGCGATGAAGAGCTGGCTCTCTCTAGGTTAGGATTTGGCTTAGAGAAGAGGCTTTGCGAAAGGCTACAGGGGCACAAGGGGCACTCGATATTTGCCCCACTGTGCCGATGCCCTTCGCTCTGTCCATCTCCACTCCGCTCCCATTATCACGCACCAGCTGTCCACACACTTTGTGCCCGGTGCGGGGCTCCCACCGCTCTGTGCCCGCTGGTCACGCCCTTTGTTTGCCCATTGTCCGCTGTCCGCGCTGTCACTTTGCATACAGAGTCGTTAACATTCCCCAGAACGGACAGGTCTCTAGGAGGAGCAGCAGCACCAGCCGAAGAAGCTCTGGTTCCCATTGAATGATGCCGTCTCTCCTTCCCTCTTCTCTCTCCTTTCCATATCTCTGCCAGTGACTACTGTCTTCGGTTTGGGGATACTCCCCCCGTATCAGCAGCTGCCTGAATGCGCTTCGTATCTGCAAATCTCTAAATTGCCACAAATTAACAGATAATTCGCGATGGCTAAAACCCGAACGAACCAGCGAACCAGCGAATGGTGGAAAAAGCAGCAAAAAGCAGCAAAAAACAGGAGAAAC